CCCGTAACACGGCAATTAACTCTGTTTTACAACATGCATTTCCCCCCCAAAAAAGCCACATTTATACTAGAAATTGGGGAATATGTCACCTGTCAGGGAGCCTGGAGTGGGGTCAACACAGAACCCCCCCACGCGCCCATCGCCAGCACAGCCTGGTTTTCCCAAACCCCTGAGATTTGGGGGCAGATTTGGGCAAATACCTGGTAAATTACAGCAGAGCAACACAAGCCCCTTCATCTCTCCCCTTCAACAGCCGCCTCGCTCCTTTCTTTCCAAAAAACTAACTTCTGGGCCTCGAAAGAGCCCCCAGAACGTATCAGGCCGAGGTTTTAATCGAAGCCAAGAGGCTTTAATTACCCGACACCCAAAAGGAAAGGTGGGCAGCAAACCCCACTGCTGCTCAGGGTTTGGGTTCTTTTTTATTATTATTATTATTTTGTTTGGGGTTTTTTTCCCCCCCCCTCAAAGGGAGACGCTGGGTTTTCAGAAGCTCCTCGCACCCAGCAGCAGAGGGAAGGTCCAGCCCCAAATACCTCCTCCCCCCGGCACAAAGAAACAGCTTCTCTCCCCAAATCCTTTCCTGAGACTGGAGGAAGGATCAGAAAATTGTTACAATCCAAAGAACCATTTTTAAGATTTAAAAAAACAAAGCAAAACAAAAAAAGAATAAAATAAAAATAGTTTCTTAATATCACTCGTGGGGTTTGGGGTTTTTTTTTTCCCCCCACTCCAGTTTTTCCTGGGGAATGAGCTGAACATTTAACCTCGGAGATAATTAGCTGTCTATATTCTGTTTAAAGCCCCACATTTATTGTTCTTTCAGCGGCTGCATTATGCAGAGCACGACTGGGCATTAGCTATTCTCAAACATCCACCTCTTCGGAGCTAATTGTGGGCTGTTCTGCGGCAGGAGGAAGTTAAAACTACGGATTTCAGGTGACAAAACAGCCCCGTTATTTATTTCAGGTGACAAAACATCCCCCGTATCTATCTATCTATCGGGATGACACCGTAAAGCCTCACCCCGAGGGGTTACAAACACTTCAACACAATGAAAGGGCAGACCCCGGGGGCTGCAGTGCAGGATTCCTGCTCCAACACCTTTCCCACACTCAATTCCCAGATAAAAGGGTCAATTCCCAGATAAAAGGGGTCCTGGGAGTTGCAGGTGGGATTTCTGAGGCTTCCCCCCGCGACTCCGCAGGAGGGAAACGCTCAGGACATCAAATTTGCCTTTCCTGAGGCCAAGATCTCTTTGCACTTTTTGTCTTCTGGTCCCCTCTCCGTCCTCCCTCTGTGTCCCCCCCCAGCCTGGGGGGCAGTGGCTGACAGGGAAGCTCCCACCTGGATGTGTCTCCCGGGGAATTTTGGGGGGATGGTGACTATTTTTAGATTGTCTTTGCCAGCGCTGGGATCTGGAAGAGTCTCAGTGACTTGCCAAGAATCCTTTTGTATGTAAGGGGATAATATTAGATTACATTTTACTTTTTATCCAAGTGTCTAAAAACCAGAAGCTGGTGAAAAGAAGGAAGGAAGGGAAAACTAATGGTGTCCCCTTTCCCTGCCCCACCTGAAGGGGTGAAAACCCTCCTCCTCTCCCCCAGTTTAAATGGGAGGGAATGGGATGACTGGAGTTCTACCAGAAACCTTCCCCTCTTCCTCAGCTTTTTCTTCAACTGCAGCTCGTCTCCGGGTCTGACATCCCAAGACCGAGCTTGAAAATATCATTAGAAATGAGCTTCTCTGTTTTAATTGCCAGATGTATTATTTTTTATTTTTTTTAAATGCAGTACCTCTACTCTACCTCCCCCTTCAGCTCACGAGTCACCTTTAGAGCTCCTTTGTCCTGAATCCAACAAGAACCTCCTGCTTCGGGGCTGCGTGGCTCAGAAAAAAAACCCCATAAAATATTTAAAGGCCCCTTTGAAGAGTAAGCTACAATTTAAAATAAAAACAAACCAAAAAAAAGCCTTCTGCAGGACACAATTCCTGCAAGAGGAGAGCTGAGCCCGGCGAAGCGGAGACAACGACAGCCTCCACAGACATCGCTCCAGCCACGGGGATGTGATGCACAGGGCTGAAGCCACACACTCCACACACACAAACTCTGTTATTAACCAAGTATTGCAATAAAGGAAATAAACACCGAGGCCCCAAGCACCGAGATGGACGAGAGGGATGATAAGGACCCAAGCGATGAGGAGCTCTCACGCCAAACACCGCCCTTTCTGCTCCTCCAGGTCCCCAAATCCCCTGGATTTGGGCCTGTTCTCCAGCTGGACGGCATCGGGGGGCACCCCCACTTGTGTGAGAGGGTCCTGCTTAGAAAGCACAAGGACCCAAGAGCCAAAGAGGATGGAAAAACACTCCACACCCTCCCCCTGCAACTTCCAAGGTGAAAGGCCTCAAGATCTAGGAGGCCTCCAAAGGCAGACGCGGCAGCCAGGGCTTCCCAATGGAAGCATCCAGCGGGAAACGGACGGGGAAAAGTAGTCATAAAAAGCCCAAAGTGATGAAAACAGCTGCCAGGCCCTGGCGGGACACTGAAGCAGCACCCACGGGTAGTCAAAAGGCACCCTGAGTTCCTCAGATGGCAACCTGGTTTGCAAGAGGACCGTTGGGACCGTCACCCCCTGGGAGGATGATGACACCAGGGCAACCTTTAAAGGGCAGCCCCCTCAGAAAGAAACCCCCCACCCCTCGCAGGGTTTCTCTCCCCTCTCCAAACCAAACAAAACCCTATTCTTTGCCTTCTCTCCCCCCGGCACCGCAGCGGAGGGCTCATCTCGGCAGGGAAGGAGGGAGGCTTCGTAACTTCTCTGCAACAGCTCCCTCTGCGGATCCATTAAGGGCTCTTTCTGCTCAGGAAGCTCATCATCGAGCACAAAACCAGCCCAGCCCCGAGGAGTACCCACGGGGGGGGGAACAGAGTGGGGACAAGGCACTGGAAGTGACCTCGCTGGGTGGCTTCCTGGTGGAGAAAACCCCACGGGCCCAGGGGGAAGCCAAGCTTTAGGTGTTCAAAAGAGCACAGCCCCGGGGAGGTACAAGGGGAAAAAATAACATTCCCCTCTTTGCAACTCAGCCGGCTTCTCACCGCCCTCGTTAGTTAATTATTTGTGTTAGGGTTAACAACTAAAAGGCCAGAGAGCAAGATCCTCCAAGCGCAGAGGATTCCTGCCGCTGGGATGCAGGAGCCCAGGAGGTTGGGCCCGGGAGGAGAGGGCCGAGGGATGGAGGAGGCGGGGGTGGAAGCGGGGCTGGCTACGTGTCCCCGGCTGCGGCATAAATAATGTATTAACGCTCCTGACCGCCCGCTCCCCGGCACTCCTGCCAGCCCCACGGCTCGCCCCGACGGCCCTGACTCAGCGCCGGCCCCCC